TAATCGAATTTAGATACGGGGTGATCAGTGAAGTAATCTTTCATATTAGAATGGATGACAAATAGTGTCGGATTAACTGTATTGCACTTTGTCTATGTTTGTAACAGATGGTTGTCATATTCCACTATGAAGGATTGTCTGATTATTTGCCAAATTTTATAAAAACAATTAGCTAATTAATAAGTACTTGCAATTGTCGTCATAGGTAATCTCTATTGTTTACTTGATGAAACCAATATATTAGACGACACCAATATATTAGACGACACCAAATTAACCTGTCAATTTGCAAAGTAAATAATTGAATTAATTAATTTTTGAAAATAATCCTTACTAATATTATAAATGTGAAAGTTTGTTACCTCTTGGCGTCTTAGCCAATCAATCAATAGAAATTCATGAAGTCAGTTGGCACGGCACTGCCTTTGCCAAGGCAAGATCAGATATACCATCCTTTTTTCGACTACTTACGGCATTTTTGACAACCCCTCTCCCCCCTCCGTTTAAAACGTTCTAAAAGAAAACATATGTATATGGATGATATGGTTAAAAATTATAACAATATTGTAATTACTTGTGTCGCGCACGAGCATAAATAAAAACCTACATTTTTTACACTGTTATGAGGAATTTAACAGACAAGACAGCAGGCAAGCAGGTCAATTCTATATATAGAAAAATATTTGTTTGTTGAAAATATTAAAATAGATTTCAATGTTCGATAATCACTACCAAATTAATTTATTTGGTACTTTATGTTATTTTGCGTGACTGGAACTAAGGGCAAGCCTACGCATTGTTAAATTAAGAGATTTTAATTAAAATAGTTCATCAGTTCAATCGCAGTAACAATTGTGAAAGTATAATAACAACCTTTGGGGGCGTCCATTAATTACGTGGGCTTAAAATGAGAGAAGTGTAGGGTGGCGAATTGTTACCAATCTCATTTATAGAGATATGGAGTCAATGAATATCTTATTTTAACTTTTATTCTCCTATAAACTATTACTTGAGTTCTAAAATAAGGGATGACGGGAACCATATTTTGAAAAGAAATAATAAAAGATTTTACTCACATTTTGTAATTTAAGGAGTACTTTTATATTGTACAATAAAAGTAAAAAAAAAAAATGTTTAATTCATAATTCTTACATGTGTTAAATCTTTTCATATCTTAGAGTGCAATTTGTTTCTTTCTTGCAAGAAACGTTATTTCCCACGGAGATAATACCTATGTATGTCAGTAACATCACAGTGAGTGAAAGCTTTCTTAAGATCTTTCTCATTTTTAAGTTTCCGTTGTTAGTTTGCAAAAAGTAAGCAAATTTATTTCTATTTATATTATTAAGTTCGTAATATTCTGATATTTTTATTTTTGATTCCGTCCATTTTGTTGGGTTATTAATAAAAAGTGCGTTTAATAGAAGTATTCTGTAATTTTACTGTACTTGTCTGTTTTTTAATTCAAATTATAATATTTCAATTTAAATCGAAAAGTAGAGCTGATAACCCTAAACCGGCCATGGAACATGCTATCGTTGCGCCGTGTGTCCGGAAATGCAGTCATAGCGTCGTAATTAAAAAAGTATGTGATTAGGTCTGTTATGGAACGCGATCCGAATCCATGAACTAAAATGATGTTACATTACAATGTGACGCTTACATGTCGTGAACTAAATAGCTGATGCTCCTTTTTACTGTTATTTCTCCCTTAAATGTAACGATTTATATATGGATGAATAAATAAATGAATGAAAAATTATTCCAATAGTCCACTACGCTTACATACATTTAGGCTATAAGTAACACAATATAAGTATGTTATGACAAAGGTTAGTTGATTTTCGGTCTGTGTCATTAAAATGAAAAAGGATGCTAAAGTTTCTGCAGAAGCAGCAATACTGATTTTCAATTAGCACCTTATTACCTTGCCCGGTTCATCAAGATTAAATATTAACATTTTGGGTAACATAATACAATAAGGTGACACAAACATGCGCAAAAAATAGATACGCAACGAAAAAATATCAAGCGAAACAACAATAACAAAAGAAAAACAAAAACAGAAAAGCTTTGAACCATATATGTAGAATAAAACAAATATCCAAACCCTGACAGTAATTGTACAATAATTCACAAAGCATATCATTTATAAATACAATATATGCTATAGCATGTATTCAGATAAGAGAAGCACATACACAGAATTGGGGGTAAAACATTTAAAACTCAAATGAAGTGTCGTAGAAATATTAGTTATATAAATTATACGATACGCAATATACATGTATTTATATATTCATTAGATATACATACATCATTATATTTTTATTTAGTTACATACAGTTGTTGGGTAAATTGTGATGAAAACATAACTCCTTTAAATTACAGTCTGTACAATATGAACCCATCTCTAAAATTCGTGACTTATTACAAGTATTTTTCATTAAATGTTTCTCAAGAGTAATTTTCCTGTAAGTTCTTAGGGAGAGGATGTTCATGATAGTCACTCGATACGTTCCCAGGGATCCATAGCGTAGGGCGAACTTTTGAGGGGATGCGGACCTCTATGTAAATTGAATAATGACTGGCCTCGCCTCAAATAAGTGGATATCACAATGTACGTATACTTAGTGAGGTACCGAGTCAGTCTGACTTGAGTACTAACTCGAATGGATATAGATTTCGAAGAAACATACACGATATTCGTATATACAGGTTTCGAGTACTTATAAATTTTTGTTTATCGTTTTATAATTTTTTCTTAATTAGCAAAGGAGATATTATTAAAATGACTATCTTACTAATATTATACCTGTGAAAGTTAGCAAAGATGTTCGGATGTTTAGATGTTTGTGTGGTGGTTACTCAATTACACTTAAACGACTGAACAGATTTGAATGAAATTTCGTACAGGGGTATATTATGTCTATAAGCTCAACACATGTGATACTTTATGTACTGATTACTAATTTATCTTCTTTATAAGTGATCTAGAGAGATATCAATTATAAAATTCAAGTATTTGTCTTAGTTCTTAAAATTGAGTCACGATTCGATTTTTTTTAATCGAATACCAAAATACTCGAATACTAAAAAACACCTTATGTTGGTGCTTTGCTAATAAACGAATTACGAAATTGGTTGCTTACCATCTGACGGACTAATTTTTAAATGTAATAGGATTTGTGCATGCGACCAGAAATCGACTGGAAATTTCATTTTATTAATTTTCATTCGTAGGTACTGAATGAAATTGTTTATTTTTTAAATCTTTTAAAATATTACAAATTTTATTGATTATTTAAGATTAAATCTCAAATTAACTACCAACTCATGTTGTATTGTTGCTTTTCAAGATATTTAACTACTTTATTACCTAACTAGTTAATGAGTTAAATAGTCGTATACTATTAATAGTGCTTATTAGTCACTGAACTTTTTTAATTACTAAATTAATAGATAAAATCTTAATTAATATTGTAAATTTAAAGTTTGTTTGTTACCTTTTACCACTTGAACGGCTTAAACAATCACTATGAAATTTGGTATATCTTGGTTGGCTAGATCAGTGAATATATTCCGGCCACGTGGACAAATTCGCTAGTAAAAACTAGTTTGAACATTTTTTATGACATTTTATGCAAAAATGCAATAATTTTATATTTATTACGTTGTATAAAAAAAAATTCAATTCTGTCTGCTGTATGCATACTTATTCCATCTCTTATAAAAAAAAATAGATTTTTGTTGAATTCTTCTAAAATTTTAATAATTAATATAGCACGTATGCTTAGGTCATAAAACAAATCGATAGGATTTCATGTATCAGAGATATATTATGTATTGACGTTATATATGCATAGTAGATGTTATTTTGCTATCAGTATCAGGGATTTTGCGTACATTGTACCTATATCAACAAACCTATACAATAAATTGATTGTGGCCAAGGATTAATCGTTCTACTGGTTTACTTTCTGTCGTTAATTCGGAATTCATAGGAACTTCTTTACCCAATTGTATTAGACTGTCTAAATTAATTTGCCGGGTCGTGTCCTGTGGTTTTCGTTTACCCAATGAGAAGTGTACAATTTAGCGTTGCCTTTTGTTTGCGATAGAACAGTACCGAAAACTGCTATTACCCAATTGATCAGATTGGCACAATTTCGCCAAATGGCCATGAGGAACAAACAGCGGTATTCAGTATAGCAAAACGTTTAGAGATATGTTATTTCATAACTTTTTTCATAATTTTCATATAGTTTTAGATAGTTTTAATTACCACTATGAATGCTATTAATCTTATTGTTACATTGGTTTGGGCATTTCACGCTAAGAAGATGAATGGACTATACGAAAAATAATATGTAAGATATGAATGAATCCAAGTAGGTATGACGATTTATAGGGATCAGTGGAAAAGGAAAACGTTCTGTGTTGATCCCAATAGACAGTTACAAAAACTTTAGAAGGAAAATCAACTGTCGTATCATTGTCACTTTATGAAGTCTCAGACCAACTTTGAAGTTTTAGTTAATGCAAAATTAGTTCCAAATTTGTTTGTTATGTTCATGCGAATACAGAAAAGAATTCAATATCAATTATACTAGCATTTTTGTAGTGTATACGTATATTAATTACATCATAGATTAGTCAATTCTGATCCAAGTTTGTATGGTATTTTATCTAAATGTTTTACTTTCGTATTTATCTCATATTAATTTTGTGAATATTTGTGTAGCTTTTTCTGTGGAACAAAATAATAAATTTTATAACTACACATACATATAATAAAACCAGCAGAATTAAGGTCCACAAGGATTAATTCACCACAATAGAATGCGCACGTATTCTTACCCCCATGGGCGAAATATTAGATGCTGAAGCATATAAACATGGGTATCGTGTGAAATTCATGCGTATTACTCCCTATAAATTAGCGATACCTTATGATGTCAGATTGAAACTAAATATTTCTTTTTTTTTTTGTATTACAGGCGCAAAGCGACGATGACGATGTCGGGCCCGACGACGTCAATGTCGCCGTTGAAGGCGGCTTCATGGACGAATTCTTCAGTGAGGTAAAACAAAATTAATCTTTTATTATTACTTTATATAATCAATTTGAATTGTTACCTTAATACACAAAAATCCCGTGTGAGGATATCCGTTCACGCTAAACTCCGAAAACAACCGATTTAATGAAGTTTGGTAAATGTATACATTATTGCTTGATCCAACTTAAAAGATATATAGTATACTTAGCTAGATACAGCTAGTTATAATTATTAATAATCGGATCAAAGATACAGCCAGTATAAAAATACATTTTAGTAATTTCTTACTAGGTTGATCACGTGACCACGTGAATTATACTATGTTGAAGGTAGTTCTGTTTCATAAATCATAATTACTATTACTAAATTCGGCATTCAGCTTGTATAGCTTTTCCGTCATGGTCGATCTGACCAATCTATATGCGAGAGCATTAATAAAGGATTTTTGCATATTCATGAGGAGGTTAAATAGCGAATGAAAGTTGTAGACGAGAAAACTTATCGGGCATGCGGTCGTTAATAAATAGGAGTGTTGTAATCAATAAATATTAATTTGCCACAGTATCTATTTTAGTAACAATGTAGTAGTCAATTCGTTATGTATCATTAGGTATACATAATTAATGAATTGTTGTTGTAATAATATATCTAACTACCAATTAGAGTCGCATAAAAACTCGGTAGAGTTGTGTTTTGAATTTATAAATGACAACTAGTAATATCTTACATATCTATGATTTTATAATATTTCCGTTATAATTTTTATTGTAAATAATAAACCAGGACGAATTTATCCTACACTTCATATTTTTGAAATTTAATATTAGTGGTATTTTCCTTAACCTCTCTTATTCATTAAAATTATTACCTCTTATAAAACCTTTTTAAACTAGTTTTTTGTCGTTTCAAGATAAAAAAAACTAAGATAAAACATTATCACATCAGCTTTTAATTGTCCATTGCTGAACATATGTAGACCTCCCACATTGCTAGTAGTTGCCATGCTTTGCAGGTCGGTTGACAACCGCGGTTAGGCTTTTTGTGTAGTTTTAAGTGTGCTGCTGCTGCCCATTCTTCAACCATTAACATAAGTTCTCTTAGTCGCCTCTTACAACACCCACGGGAGAGGAAGGCATGGCCCGTTCCACACGGCAATATATAATATAGAAATAGCTAAAATAAAATAATAGCCAATTTTTATGAATAAGGAATCAATGTTTATTAACTGTACTCCCGGCTTTGCCTGCATAAATTAAAGCAAAAAGTATAACAATGAATATAAAATTTTATTATGTAAATATTTTTTCAAAGGCAAATAATGACGATTATAAATATATTCTATTTATGATTCATAATTTTTAAAGTTGATACCAAGCTTATCGATACAAAAATAATAAAGCTCTTAAAGTAACAATCAATAAACCTTATCAACATCATTTGCAGGATTTGAAGGGAATAAATAAATTGGTTTCTTACATTTTTTCATCGCAACGGCCTTTTTCTTACGGAGGCGTCTCCCATAAATCAGATAGATCATAGTATCGGAGATAATTGGGCGAAACGGGTCGGTTCGCGCACAGAATTTTATTTTTATTGTGACGTCGTACAACAGTAATAGTGAGACATTTGTGCAGTAAAGTCTTAGAGGTAAATAAATAAAAAAAAGAATAAATATCAACTTACTATATGAGATTTACTGAACTAGAAAATGTTATATGCTATACAAAATGTCAATTCTATAGATAGCGCGTGATCCGCTGATATTATAATAAAATCATTGGTGCGATCTGATAGGTTTGCATATCATTATCAGTGTCTAGCAATATAGAATCGACACGAGCTTTACGAAGTTGATTTCTATACTGTAACAAAACAGTAGTGATTTTTTCAAATATAAATGATAATTTGATTATAAAATGCTAATGTTAGATAGCCGTGTGGTCCCAGCGTAAAATAGGCCACCTCATCCTTTCCCGTGGCTGTCGTAATAGGCATTTAAGGAAGTATAATGATCGAGAAATCGGCAGCAGCGTCCCTCTTTAAATATATCCAAAGCCTAACTGTCTTACTGTCCGACTCGATCTACTGAAACTGCGAAGAGATGTTGCATCTCTGTGCATCTTCTACCGAATTTATCATGGAGAGTGCTCTGAAGAATTGTTCGGATTGATACCTGCTGCTGATTTTCACCATCGTACAACCCACCATAAACTAAAATTTCATCCCCACCATCTGGACGAGTGGCGGTCCTCCACCGTGCATTTTTCAAGGCATTTTCTCCCACGCACAACCCCTCTTTGGAATCAACTTCCAACAGTATTTCCGAACCGATACGATAACATAACCTTCAAGAAAAGAGCATTATTTTTGAAAGGCTGGCAGCACACCTGCAATGCCGTAGGTGTGGTGGGTGACCATGGGCGATGGTAGTCATTTACCATCAGGTGAGCCGCATGCTCGTTTGCCTCCTGTGTTGTAAAAAAAAAACTGATTGCCAACCCGGCTGCCAATCGTGGCTACTGCTGGCAAAACCCCCTTTATAGGAAAGGTCTGTGTTCTGCAGTGGACAGTTAACGGGTGATATAAAGATGATAAATATATATAAATTGCATAGCCAAGATATACAATAAAATATTGTATTTTTATTATTAACTAAATTAGTCCTAGTCCTAACCATTATAATATATAATTAAAATTCAGTTTTTAAAAGTTTCCGTGCGTAATTGCATTAATCGTATCTTCATCATATTATATAATGTCAAGTAAATTATGAGTTTCGAGACTGAACTATAGTTAGATCTGTGTACCAAATTTTATTAACATCCATTCAATCGTTTAAGATTGAGTAAAAAACAAATATCTTGAAATTTTCACAATTTTTATTTGTGGAACGATATTGTTATTGTCTCAAAATTTCAATCTATGTTTTATATACAAACAATATTCACAAAACGATCACAGTTATATAATTGTTCACATCTACGACGATTATAAAATTCAATTTATTTTTTTAGGAATGTATTTACAAATGCGTCTTTACTGTCATTGAATTCGTAACTTTTTCTATGAATATAGAAAAGGCTATTGAAAGTTGTTCGCGAAGGAATCTGTCGAAAGTTGTGTATAAAAGGAAATTTTCCGCTGTGTAGAGGGATAAATTTTTTGCTATAGTAAAATTGATAGCTTATTCTTTCATACTTCAATATTGGTCCTCATCATAAAATTTTTGTTTGTTTGGATAAAGCTTTTATTGTACATTCACAATTAATATAGATATCAACTTATAAAGAAAATTACAAAGTACACAGGCGGACTTGTCCCTTGAGGGGTTTTCTTTCAGTCAATCTTGAGAACCCGAAAGGAGAAACTGTAGTGTTTGTACGTAAAAGGTAACCTATGTGGTGCATAAATAATATAATAAGCTATAATCGATAGCTATATAATTAGTAACTGAATATATATACAAAAAATATAGTATACATTTATATGTATTGTTCTCAATTGTCATCAAATCATCATTATTTATAACATATGCATTTTTATATGATATAGTTCTGTATTATTGATACTGAGTGCATATTGACATAAACAATATAACATTAATTTGTTATAAAATCTGTATACTAAACGCATTTTCCAATAAATAAAGCGCATAGGAATAAAAGAAATACAAGACTTATTCCAATTAGCTATAGATATCTACAACCTTACAAATATGTGCCAATTTATAAGAAATTTAAACTACTTGCAAACACTTCGTATGTATGTAATGTAGGCATACGTATATAATCATCGCCTTACTATCTGACTCGTCTCACTGAAACTGCGTAGAGATGTTGCATTTCTATACATCTTTTATCGAATATATTATGGAGAGAGGTCTATGGAATTCTTTGGATTGATACCTGCTGCTGATTTTCACCACCGTACAACCCGTCACAAATTACAACCATTTAGATAAGTGGCGGTCCTCCACCGTGCGTATTTCAAGACACTTTTTCCACACACAACCACTCTTTGCAGTCAATTTAAAGCAGCATTATTTCCAAATCAATACGACAACATAACCTTCAAGAAAAGAGCATATTTCTTTTTAAAAGGCCGGCAGCACACCTGCAACACTAGGAGAGAGAGAGACTTACGATCTGCAGAGGTAGTCACTTACGATCAGGTCAGCTGCATGTTCGTTTGCCCCCTGTATTATATAAAAAATAACAACATGGACCGAAAAAGAGCAAGTTTACTACAGTGTCAGTAAACTAAATTTTTAAACAATATATTTCAGTATAGGGTTATGTTTAAAATCGTGTTTACTAATTAGTTCAGGTGATCCTCACTACTCTAAACAAATGAATCGAACCAAAACATGAAAGCTACAAAAACAAATATGTGGTATGTGTAATTGAAACGTAATATACTCTTATAAAAAGACAAATAACCTATGAAAGTGTTTTCCAAGTTGTATCTAATGCTATTACAGTAAAGTATATTTTAATTTCAGAACTTTTCTTAGTATATTTCAAGAAACTAGTAAAAATGCCTTTTATGCTGAAATGTCTCTTACTATCTAATATTTTCTATTTCCAAACGTTAAAACCATCGTGAGTTGTATTTTCGTCACATTATGTCTAGGAACCGCAAAGGATACAATTCTCTAGTGACATATCGGGGCTTAAAAGCTGGTAATAAATAATTCCAAATACGTCAGTGTACGTGGGAGGACAATATTTCTTTAAATGAATCGTAAGAGGAAAATCTCAATAGCATATTCTATGTCTAATCGACGGTTAACCGCAAATATATTTTAATACAAATAAAAATTTTTATGAGACAATCATTGTGATCACTTTATTGCATTTGTAATCCAATATCATAAACTAAATTCACTTTTTTAAATATACTAATGATGACAAATGAGCATGCGACACTTCTGAAGGTAAATTCTTATTGTAAATTATGAGTGAACCTATGCGTGTTCACAACCCTTCAGAATTGTTATTATTCCCTTTTTGAAGTATTCTACG